TATTGAAGACTACTAGAAATATCAAGGAAACTTTTTCACGACTGCCCTGAAATTTGCTACTCTATACTCTGACCTATCAGAGGAATAAAACATAATTATGGAATGCAAAAATCTGTCCTCATTCATAATGGAGACTGGTGGGTTAAAAACTCTGAAGACCATTTTTGATATCAGAATGTGATCATTAGACTTGGGAGTCTTCTGACCTTGTTGGTCTATTTATATTATATAATCTAATTGTCTTATATACTCCTTAGAAAATAATTAACTATAAAAGTAATTCAAATATATCTATTATTTGACTCATAAATAAAAAAATTTTTAATGCGTAATTAAATTCTAATATATTGATTTTACAGTGAAGATGAAGAACTAAATTAAATAAATATAGTATTTTAGATATGTATAAATAAAATATAAATGTAAAATATATAACCCAATCATATTTGAAAACTTTAAGAAGATCTCGATGTAGTTTAAAAAAAATAGCTAAATAAAGAATGCCAAAATATTGTAAATAAAGATAATAAGATAAAATAAACCAGACAGTAATAACTTGACAGCTTGAAAGAACGTGGATAAATATTGAAATATAAACCCCCAAAAGAAACTAAGAACTGACTTTAAATTTCCTTTAAAAGTTATACTTAATTCGATAAAAAGACAAACCACGTTTTAAAAAAAAATGTGAATTCTACTTAATAACAGAACTTAACTTAAAAGTATATTAAATTTTTGTAAGTTATTATTAGCATCGCTTGAGAATTGAACTGAGCTCAAAATTTATGTTTATTTTAAAAGTAAAATTTGAAGATTTATTTTTATCGGTTTCAGAAAAATTTCTGTCTTCCCGATAAGAACATTTTTTAAAAAAATTATAATATTAGGCTCTACTTTATCGAGAACTTTTTTTTTAATAAAAATATGCTAAAAGAAACTGGATTGTAAATCTGACCGTTTATTTTAACTTATATATTTTATATATATATATATACCTGGTATAAGATATATATATATATATAGATTGCTGCTTAAATATTTAATCATATCTATATATATATATATATATATATATATATAATATAAAATATATTTTTTAAAAGAAGACAAGAATTGAAATTTTTGGTTGTAAACATTTATTTAGAAAAATATTCTTTTTGTTTTAATATTTAGTTTGTCCCTGTTTAACCAAAACTTTCTGTAGAAAGAAATCGAAAACCAATATTTGAAACAGAGAATGTCTTTGAGAATATTTACGTCTGAACATATAGAATATTTAATTATTTTAATAATATGTAAATTAGAACTTTTACCTGAAGACGTTCAAGACCAGAAACACGTGTCGAAAATTTTATTTTTTAAAACAAAGCATAATATTTTTTGGAGATCAAATAAATGGAATAAAACCAAAACGTTTCGTCATTTTTAATTGTTTCGAGAAATTGCTTTTAATAACAAGATATTTTCATGAAAAATGAACCAACTAAGACATATTTTTTTCTCTTTTATATATATTTCATATAAAATTAATATTATATATATATATTTATATTTTAATTACAGTGTTTTTTGGAGTATAATACGTTTAGGACTAAAGAAAATTTCAAGGTATTTATTAATTTGTAGGCAAGTTTTTTTTTTTCTGACATAGTCATTTTGAAGGATCTAAATGTTGTTTTTCTTTTTTAATTTTTTATTTTAGTGTTCCTGATAACTTTATTTTTGTTTTTATTTTTCAGATTAAACCTCCTTGGAGTTCATTTCCTTCTCTGTTTTAGATGTTTTTATAAATTAAAGAGTTAGCATTTTTGCCATCTTCTTTGTAGTTAAATATTACCGAACATAATTTTTTTTTTCTTTTAATAACTATTCTATTATTTCACGAAAAAAATCCTCAAAATGAGGTTATACCATTTTTATTTTTTAATATATACTTTTCATGGAGTTTTTTAAAATATATGACTGATATGATTCTATTTTCTAATTTATGATGAATTACACAATATATCTTACCGATGTATTTTGTTTTGAATTCGGTTCTGTAGATATATATATATATATATATATAAAACATATTATTCTTTTTATATAATTTATATATATATAAATATCAAAACATATATATATATATCGGACATTTATATATAAATATACAATAAAAGAACAAAGAAATTTAATAATATTTTAAGAAATATCTTTTATTAATGAAACCTTCTATTCTTTGGGTTCAATAAAGTCCCATTGAATTTCAAAAAATCTTCTCTATTTTATAAACTAATGTTTAAACAATAAAAACCTATCATTGTTTGAAAATTTCTTTATAAGTATTGCTGGTTAATATTTTTTTCCATCAAATAAATCCTGTATTAAGATTTTACCATTCAAAAAAAATTATATTCAGATGGTTTCTTTATAATCCAAACCTCTAAAATCTATCTTCAGTTTTTATTTTGATTTTTCTATTTCCTCAAAGGGAAAGTTAGAAGAAAATTTGAAATTCTTTTATATGTGTATATTCAATATTGGAAACGTTGATATCTTTTTCCAAAAATTTGATGACATAAAAACTCATTGATATAAGATTTAGATAATTGTTTGATTGTTTATATTTTATATTGATTCATTTTTCTGGCAATCTTTTGCCTTTCATTGCTGAAATCCTTATATCGAGATTGCTATACCAATAAATATTTATTATTACCTGAAGTTTTAGACCGTTTCATGTCTTAATTTCAAAAGCGTATTTATTTTAAATTCCTTATTCGTTGGGGATTATTTTTTTAGAAGATTTCAATTATTGGATTCTATTTGTAAACAAATGATTCTACTTTATAAAGATATGAATTTAAAAGTTTTTGGCCCTTGGAACTTGTAGATTCTGCATTGGCTTCAAATTCCTCCTAGTGATTAAAAAAAAAGATTTAAAGAAAATTGTTTTAAACAGCTTTTCTTTTCTATTAAATAGTTCGTTGGAACATTTTTTAATCCTCTTTATATTAAATGTTTTTCATGTATAAACCTCTTATGGAAGTTAGGCGTTAAATACTTTTCTTATTTAAAGTGTCCTTTATACCCCATTACATTTCCATTATTTAAATCTGATATTTGCTGTATTTTTCTTAAAATTATATATGAATCCAAAATTTTATCCGATTTTTTTTAAACAAAATTATGTTTGAAAATAAATATCAAACTAAAAAATGAAACTGTGTTAGAAAATTTTCTTTTAAATATTGAAAACAGAAGTAAAAATTCACAGATGATTGTCAAATAAACAAGCTAAATATTTTTTGTTCAAAAAGAACGTAATTTTATTTTTAATTTAATAAATTTATTCAAAACCAAATTATTAATTTCATTTTCATATTTACAATGGTGATATTCTAATTTTTTTATTTATTTCATTTCCAGAAATTTGTAAAAATCATAATCATGCAATTTAAAAACATCGAAATGGAATTATTTTAGGAAGAATCAAAAAGAAATTGTCAAAACAATTCTTTTTTACGGATTTTAAAATTTCCATTTTTGTCATCATTTTAAACGATTCAAATTTCCTTTCAAGTAATAAATGTGAGAAAAATTTATATATATTCTGAAGGGAAACGAACTAAAAAACATGAAAAATATTTAAAAGGGGAATTTCATTCCTCTGTAAATGTTTGCTCACTAATATCTATAGAAGAAAAAATATTTTCTTTTAAAAGATTTCAATCAATCAGTGAGAATTTATAAACAGACAACAGAAGTTTAGTGAAAATATTTTAGGTTCAAGATCTTGTTTCATGAAAAACAATCACCTTTCTATAAAAAAAGAAAAAAAACATCCCCAACGAAACCCTTTTGTTTCTTTTGAAAATGACAAAAGTAAATGAAAAAAGCTCTTTAATGGTCAATAGCAAAAGCATTAAAAATTCCAAGTTCAACTAAAACCCCTTTGAAAAAATGAAAATTTTGTTACTGCTATTTAATGAAATCTCTTTGGTAAAGTTTTGCAAAAAAAAAGCATATTTTTTTTTCAAATTTCTTTCTCTAACTGCATTGTTAAAAAATTTCAAAAAAATATTCTTATGACATATTTATTTATTTATATATATATATATATATCGCTCAGAATAATGCTTCAAAATGAAAGATCAAAAAATATATAAGGATTCTTCTGAAATTTTTTTTATATTTTCAAGATATTTAATAGGTGCATCTATATGGGAATAAAAATGGCTCCTGTATTTAAATTCATTACTATATATATTTATTTAATTTTTATTTTTTATCTATATATTCATGTATAAAAAAATTTTTATATAAAGAAATTAAAGAGCCTTGGTGTTATTTAATTATATTTTTAAGGTTTTAAAATAAAAGAATTTTGTGAAATATTCAGTTTACGCATTTCGTAATTAATGCAAATAGAATAATTAAGAACCTTAATTTTTTTTAAAACATTTAAACAAGATAAAGAAAAAAGAAAAAAAGGAAGAAGTTAATTTGAAAATAAGAAGATCAAAAAACGGAAACAAAATGAAAAAAATTAATGAAGAATTTAAAAATGAAAAATCAAACACGAGAAAAACGCATCAGAATAAGAAAAGAAAGAAATGAAGAAAATTTCAGAAGAAAAAATGAATGAAAGAAGAATTTTCAAGAAGAATTGAAGAAGAAGAAGAAGAAAAAGAAGATGAAAAAAAAAAAGAGGAGAAGAAAAAAGAAAGAAGAAGAAGAAAAAAGAAAGAAGAAGATTGAAGAAGAAGATTTTCTTGTTTGTGAAGATGAAGAATTAAAGATGCTTAGATCATTATAAATTTCATGAAAAGAAAGACAAGAAAAAAAGAAAAAAAGAAAAAGAAAATAATAAGAAGAATGGAGAAGAAAAAAAGAAGAAAAATTCTGAAGAATATGAAGAAAGAAAAAAAAAAAAAGAAGAATTAAAGAAAAAGAAGAAAAATATATATATATTAATAAAGAAAAGATTTGAATATAAGAAGTGAAGAAAAGAATCTTTATAAGAAAAGAAAAAGAAGAAAAAAGAAGAAAATGAAGATGAAGAAAAAAGAAAAAAGAAGAAAAAGAAGAAGATAAGAAGAAGAAAAAAGAAGAAAATGAAGATGAAAAAAAAGAAGAAAAATTAAAGAATATGAAGAAGAAAAGAAAAAAGAAAGAAGAAAAGAAAAAAAAGAAGAAAAAAGAAAAAACAAGAAGAAAATAAAAGAAGAAATAAAGAAGATGAAAATTAAAAAGAAGAAGGAAGAGAGAAGAAAATGAGAAAAGAATTCGCTAAAAAGAAAAAGAAGATTGAAAAAAGAAGATGAAAAAAGATGAAGAAGAAGAAAAAACAAAAAGAAAAAAAGAAGAAAAGAAGAAGAAGAAGAAGAAGAAAAAAAGAAGGAAAAGAAGAAGATGAAGAAAAAAAAGAAAAGAAAAGAAGAAAGAAAGAAGAAGAAGAAAAAAGAAGAAGAAGAAAAGAAAAAGGAAGAAAGGAAAAAAAAAAAAAGAAGAAAAAGAAAGAAACAAGAAGAAGAAAAAACAAAATGAAAAAAGAAAAAGAAGAAGAAGATGAAAAGAAGAAGAAGAAAAAGAAGAAGAATAAGAAGAAAAAAAGAAGAAAGAAGAAGAAAATAAAGAAGAAGAAAAGAAGAAAAAATCTGAAAAAAAAAAAGAAGAAGAAGAAAAAGAAAAAAAAAGAAAAAAAGAATGAAGAAAAGAAAAAAAAAAGAAGAAAAATGAAGAAATGAAAAAAAAAAGAAAAAGAAAAAAAAAAATAAGAAGAAGAAGAAAAAATGAACGAAAGATAGAAGAAAAGAAGAAAAAAGAAAAAAAAGAAAAAAAGAATCAGATGAAGATGAAGAAAAGAAGAAAAAGAAGAAAAAGAAAAAGAAAAAAAAAAAATGAAGAAAAAAAGAAAAAAGAAGAAGAAAGAAAGAAGAAGAAAAAAAGAAGATGAAAAAGAAGAAAAAAGAAGAAGAAAAAAGAAGAAAAAAATTCATCCAAAAGAATGTAAAAAAAAAACAAAATGAAGAACATAAAAAAAAAGAAAAGAAGAAAATGAATATGAAAAAAAATAAAAAAAAAAAAAAAAGATAAATACAATAAGAAAAATAAGAAGAAGAAGAAAAAGAAGAAAAAAAGAAAAAAAAAAAACAAGAAAAGAAAAGAAGATGAAGAAGAAAAAGAAAAAGAAAAGAAGAAGATGAAGAAGAAAAGAAAGAAAAAGAAGAAGAAGAAATGAAGAAGAAGAAGAAGAAGAAGAAGAAGAAGAAGAAGAAAAAGAAGAAAAAAAAAGAAGATGAAGAAAAAAATCAAGAAGAAGAAGAAGAAGATGAAATGAAGATGAAAGAAGAAGATTAAATGAAGAATGAAAAAAAAGAAGAAAGAAGAAGAAAGAAGAAGAAAAGAAGAAGAAGAAGAAAAAGAACAAAAGAAGAAGAAGAAGAAGAAGAAGAAAAAAGAAGAAGAAGAAAGAAAAGAAGAAAATTTAAAAAGAAAAGAAAAAAGAAAAGAAAGAGAATTAAAAAAAAGAAGAAAAAAGAAGAAGATGAAGAAGAAAAAAAAGAAGAAAAAAAAAGAAGAAGAAGAAGAGAAAAGAAAGAAGAAGAAGAAGAAGAAGAAAGAAAAGAAAAGAAGAAGAAGAAGAAGAAAAAGAAGAAAAGAAGAAGAAAAAGAAGAAAGAAGAAGAGGCAGAAAAAGAAAAAGAAAGAAGAAGAAAAGAAGAAGAAGAAAAGAAGAAAGAAGAAGAAAGAAAAAAGAAGAAGAAGAAGAAGAAAAGAAAAAGAAAAAAGAAAAGAAGAAAAAGAAGAAGAAGAAGAAAAGAAGAAAAAGAAGAAGAAGAAAAGAAAAAAAAAAAAAGAAGATGAAGAAGAAAAAAAAAAAAAAAGAAAAAGAAGAAGAAGAAGAAAAGAAAAAGAAAAAGAAAAAAAAATTAATATAAAAATGAAGAAATAAGATAAGAAAAAAAGATATGTATAGAAATAGAAATAGAATCAGATAAATAATAAGATGAAGAAAAAAAAGAAGAAAAAAAATATAAAGAAGAAAATTAAAAAGAAGAAAATAAAATAAAAATTTAATTTAAATAATAAAGAAAAGAAAGAAGAAGAAGAAGAAAATGAAGAATAAATAAAAGATAAGAAAAGAATAAGAAAAGAAAGAAAGAAGAAGAAAAAAAAGAGAAAAAGATTCTGAAGAAGAAATGAATTGAAGAAAAAGAAGAAGAAGATGAATCAAACCTAAGAAGAAAAGAAGAAAAAAAACGAAGAATTGTTTTTGAAGAAGAAGAAAAAAAAAAGAAGAATCAGAAGAAGAAAAGAAAAGAAAAGAAGATAAAAAGAAGAAGAAATGAAGAAGATTTGTTCTGAAGAACCATTTCTTTCTGTTGAAGATGAAAAAGAAACACGAAATCGAAGATATGGAAATCTTCAATGAGAATCGAAAAGATTAAGATGAAGAAGAATTAATGAATCTTTTTCAACAAGAAGAATGAAGAGATTCTGGGACATGAAAAGATGAAGAAAAAAAAGAAACTTTATGAAAATGAAGAAAAGAACCTATGAAGAATAAAGTCTTTATTTCTGAAGATGAAGATGAGAAGATTTGAATTTTTGACATTGTTAAGATGAAGAAGAATCTAAATGTCTTTTTTTTGTCTTAAACTGGAAGAAGAAGATTTTTAATTAAATTTGAAGATTTTTTCCTAAGAAATGAAGAAGATTTCTTTTTAGAAGATTTTCCAATGAAGAAATTCACATGATAATTTGAAGATTTAGTCTTTGAAGCATTTTAAAATGGAAGATGACGATTTCAAGAATTGTTAAGATCGAAGAAAAAGAAGATTAAAAACCATGTTTATATTTTTTTATGAACAAAAGATATGAAGAAAGTGATGAATGATATCTATTTTATTAAGATAAAAAGAAGATTAATGTAGAAGACGTATGTCTCTTACATGAATAGAAGAAAAAGATGTTTAAAAATTTTTAATCTTTTAAATTTTTTCAAAGGGAAGAAGAAGAAGTAGAAAAAAGAATTAATTTGAAGATAACATTAGATGAAAAAGAAGATTATATTTTTTTGAAGATTTTTTTTGTTGTCGTAAGAAGATGTCTTCCTCTCTCTGAAGAATTTCTTTATTTGAAGATAAAGATTTTCATCAAAAAAATAATTATATTTTGATAAAAGATTCTTTATTTGAAGAAGAAATTTTAATAAGAATTTTTATTTCTATTTGAAGATTTTTCTTCCTCTTTCTTTCTTGAAGAAAAAGAAGAATGAAAAGAAGATTTTTTTGATGAAGAAAAAGAATTAAAGATTAAGAATTCTTCTCAGATCTTTTTTTTTATCAAAGATCAAGATGAAGAACATTTTTCTGATTAAGAAGTCTGGAGATGAAGATTATTTGCCTTAAGATTTTCTTTTAGATCAAGAAGAAGATTCTGAAGAATTTCATGAAGAATCAGAATAAAATAGAAGAATATTGCTGAAAACAAGAAGAAAAATATTTCTTTAAATGAATTTTTTTCTTCAAAATGAAGATGAAAACGAAATTTGATTGAATGAAAAGAAGAACTTTTTTTTCGAAGATGAAAAAGAAAATGAAGTTGAAATAAAGTCATAATATGAATCGTACAAGAAGAATTTTTTCTTGAGAAAAGAAGATTTGATCCTTCTGTTGAATTGAATGGTCAATTTAAAGAATTTTCTGAATTGATAGAAAATGAAGAAGAAGATCAAGAAGAAGAAGAAATGAAGAATCAAATGAAGATTGATCAAGAAGAAGAATTTCTAAAGATGAAAATTATAAGATTTTTTTAACGATTATGTGCAGGCATCAAGAAGTAAATTCTAGCAAGAAAAAAAGAAGAAGATGAAGAAGAAGCCTTTTAGTTTCAGATAAGAATTTATAATGGGATGGCTTGAGATTTTAAATTTGAAGATGAAAGGAACCATGCAATGAATTCTCAAGATGAATATGAAGATAAAATAAAAATGAAACGTTTTTAATTCTTGAAGAATTATAAAGAAAAAGATTTTACAATGTTTCATGATTTTAGAAGAAGAACAAATCGATCTTTTCATATATCCAAGTTTTATAAATAATTTTAAGTAAAAAGAAATTTGAAGAAGTCGATCCTTATGTTTATAAGATTATAAACATGAAGAAGTTTGTTTTAAGAATAAGAACAATGAAATGAAAAAAGAAGAATTGAAGATGATCAATTTTTTCAAAATCCATATAAGAAGAATATATTTTTCCAAAAAAATTAAGATGAAGAATATTTTTATTTTGAAAAATATTATTGATTTGTAAATAAACGAAAAAAAAATTTTGAAATTAAAATTTATTATTAAGATTTTCATAAATAAGAAGATTTATGAAGATGAAAAATAAAAAAGAAGAAGACCCATAGAAGGGATTCCTAAGACATTTTCTACTCTTTAAATTTTGACCTGGGAACAACAGAAGATGAAAAAGTATTTCCAAAAAATAAACTTCTTTTCAGAGTCCCTAATAGAAGATGAAGATGAAGAGTTTAAAGAAGAAAATGGGCTAGAAACTTCTCTAGGAATAATGAAGCCAAAGATTTCGAAAGAAGAAGATTCTGGATTTAAAGAAATTTTTTTAATTTTTGAAGAAGAAATGAAGAAGAAGATGAAGAAGAAGATGAAGATGTAATTGAAATTTCATCTGAAGAAGATGAAAGAACCAAACTGAACTGAAGAAGATGAATCAGAATTAAGAAAAATTAACTATAAGATTATTTCATAAGATCGCTTCAAGTAGATTTTTCAGAGTTTAACCTTTAAATTTCATAGAAGAAGATTTTTGTTCAATATTTATCAGAAGATGAATTTAAACAAGTAATTTTAAGGTTTATTTTTTTAAATGAATAAGAATTCATGTTTATTTAAGAAGGATGCCAGCAAGAATTTAAAAGTCATCCCTTTTTGAAATGGTAAATTTAGACCATGTGCAGATGTTTTGAAGAAACTTCATTGAAGAAATAAAAAATTACGAAGAAAGGATCTGAAGAAGAAGAAGAAAAGGAGGCATTAATAAATAAATAAAGAGAAATGTCACATTATTTCAAAAACAAACAAAACACAATTAAAATCGTTAGAATGGGGCATTTAGTAATTTCCAATATGCTTAATCCCATATTCATCAAATATATATTTTAAATTTTCCATCACCAATAAATTCATATGTAGGAGAAAAATTAAAAAATTAAAAATTGAAAATTATCTTTCCAAATTTTTTTTTTTTTTGAATCGAAAATTTGATGAATTAATTTAAATTCGTTGAAAATAAACGCAATATTTTTAATCCTAAATTGAAATAAATTTAAAAGATTAAATTTCACATTGACTTTTTTCAAAGAACAAATTAACATTAATGAATTTAGTCTCTAATTTTAAATTCTGAGATAATCTTATATATTTTCTTCTAATCTAGTGAGATAATCATTAAAGATCGATAAACTATAGAATAGTTAAAAATTTATCAAAAAAGTGTTTCATTAATTTCTCTAAAATCCTCTAGAAATCTTTTCGTTCATTTAATTTAATCTGTCAAAATTAAAAATCAATATAAATCATTAACCATTTCAAATTGTTATTCATATTCAGTTCTATATGTTAAAATAATCAATAAAAGAGCCTTATTTCCATCTATAAAAGATTTTTTAAGCCTACGGGGAAAGTATCTCGCATAAATATTTATTATATTCATTTATCCTATCCAAATTTTTTGGTTTCATTTAACATTTGGGATCCCAAATAAAGAAAAATTTTAAGTTCCAATAAATTTTTGCATTGAGAAATTTTTGAGAAAACATATCACTAATAAAATTTAATAAATATATTATCATTTAATATACATCTATTTGAAATAATTAAATATTTCCATCGTTCTGATGGTATGATGTAAACACACATTTTAAATTGGGGGAAAATGGAATCACCATTGAATATAATGAATAAAGCCAAATCCTTATATATAAATTCTTCACCAATCTTTGTTAATATGCAAATTGTTGTTTTAGAAAATTTTAATTAAGTTTCAGTTTATAAGGAAAAACATGCTTTTCTAAATTTAATCATATGTGAGCAGGTCAAAGATTATTATATATTTTCCACACAAACTATTCGTGATATTGTTGTTTGCTGATATATATGCATCTTGTACCAAGATAACAGTAGAATGTTTAATATGTATTTCTCTGCGTGTAAAAAAACAAGAATTTGTCTACTGAAATAGTGCAATCCAACCTTGTCCTACAGTCTCAGTTAACTGGAATTTTGACGCCCATGTTGAAAAAGTTTTTTCCAAGAAAGTCTATAAATTTCCATTTGAGACCATTTTTAAGATATAAAATAAATGTTTTAGTCTATTTTCATTACAATATTTTTCACCTATCTTGTTTGTTAAAAATATAAGTTTATTTTAGATGATGAAATCATGCATCGGATTGCTAAGGCTACCAGTGCTTTCGGTAAAATATATCGCTTGTGGAATGAGCAGGATATTCGACTGGATACGAAAATTCAAATTTACAGAGCTGTTGTATATGCCATCCTTTTGTAAAACCTCAGAGTCGTGGACTCCATACAGGTACCATATACGCCAGCTGGATGTTTTCCATAAAAGCTGTCTGCGTGCAATCTGTGGAGTTAACCTTCAAGATAGGACATCTAACGTAGACCTGTTTAACAGGTGTAATATTGGAGGAATCAAGACTTTTTCTCATACAGTCTCAATGATTTACGGTGGACTGGTCATGTCTTGAGAATGTCTGATGACAGGATATTATAGACCAAGATCCTAATGTTTTTAGCCAGTTAGATCAGGGCTACAGGAATGTAGGACGCCCATGGCTTGTTTACAAAGACAAGCTGAAAAGCAACTTGTTGCATCTCAATATAAAATCTAAACCAAAATCATAATCATCATTACCAGATTCTTTCATAAATCTGGGTTGAATGCGGAAGAGCTATTCATTTATGGGAAAGGCGTGATTTGGGCAAGACCTGGCGAAGCCCATCCCTTTTTCAAATAAAGCTGCTGCCAATCCTCCAACTTGAAGTTTCGCCTTAATCACGGACAGGTGAACGTTTATTCTATTGGTTGAACCGTCAGGCCTAGCCGTTGATGTCAGTCTATGAAGCGAAATCCGCCAGGCGATGCTGAGTTATCTTCGCACTGGCCGGTATAGAGTTCAATTTACACCATGAAGGTTCAACCAGTCTTTGACTGGACATGTTTTTTAATTCTGCTGGGATGGAAACATCTGGCTATTCGGTGATATTCACCAGGTAGTACTGAGGTACTGTAAAACCAAACTTCTAAAAGAGGCTTTAAATTCAGGTATGTCTGATCATGAATGAAAGAAAGGTGCAGCGATCTCTGTAGAAGTAATTAAAAATAACTGACATAGAAAATAAGACAGTTGCTTCAAATCTGGAATCTTCTGAACATCAGGCGCGCTAATCCACTGATTTCACTAGACGGTTAGAGGTTTCATACATGAATCAGCGGTAGACATTTCTAAAACAGTGCAAGCAGAGACATGGGACGAGAGACATTCAGAAGGATAATGAAAATTAAGAGAGTTGTTGAAATTAAGGGAAATATTAGGGTCGCAATACTGATACTACAAGATAGACGGACAGATAGATAGATAGATAGATAAGAACAGACTGAGATAGATAGATAAATAGACAGAAAAGGGCAGTCTGAGATATATAGAAAAGAACAGACTGATATATATATATATATATATATATATATATATATATATATATATATATATATATATATATATGAAGAGATGAGATAGATAGATAGATAGATAGATAGATAGATAGATAGATAGATACGAATTCATTTTCAACGTATTCCAAATGATAGGCAAAAGATTCACTCAGACACCTTTTATCTAATAACTTCTACATCGCAGACTTTAGCATAAATGCTTTTCTGAGCACTACAGTCTTAACCTCTTCATGTCAAAGGTTATCTACACTCTTTATCTTGATATTCTTTATTTCTTACCACGTCGTGTTTCATTTAAATTGTTGTAATTTGGTCTTTGTTCAAAATGGCTAAGAATTAGGAAGGCCGTAGTTAGAGTGAGTATCAATAGGTCTTCAAAGAAGAAGAAATTCATTAAATACTCATATATAGAAGGGGAGCACCTTTGTAAATCAAATACTACTCAAATCCTACTCTAATGTGGGTACTTGCGATATTTATAAGGATTAGTCCATCGACCACAGCAGTAGGAAAGAGCAGAAGGTACACCGTTTACTACTCTACAACATAAATCATTTAGTAACCGTCTAGTTTGAGGGGCTCTCGGGCCATGTAGTGCGAGTTTTAGTATACAAACAAAATCCCAACAGTTTGAGGAACATATTTCCCTGAATTGAAACACAAGTTCAATTATTTTGTTTCACTGTTTGTTTCATCAGTCATCACAAAAATGACAAAACTGTATTAAAAATGGCTGAAAAAGTGTGTGGTGGGGAAGAACATGTGTCTGTCCAGAAAAGCGCAGTGCGGAAGTCTGACGCTGAATCGTGTCGATTTTTACGCAA